AAAAGCGTCTAACAAGTAACAAGTAATGTATGTAAAGGGCTTTGAGGGGTCGAAAATACCTGATAAAGGACTATAAAAGTACAGTTCTTTTAGCATTTTACCATCTAAACGATATTCAAATAATACACAGGAAAAAGAATCCCAACTGTAAATTGTTAGAATTTTTGTTTTCTATTTTAAATACTATGTGCATGCCTTTTGATCTAATAGTCATCTCCTTCTATACTGTGCTTTAACAATGTCTCTCTGTGGGACATAAAGGAATTGAGATTCAGTTTCAAAAGAAGACTCATCACAAGTTAAATTCACACTAAAGGGTTGAAAAATAGTGAAAAGTCATGTTTTCCTGCGTCCTCACTTCACGTTGTTGGTGAGTTTGAAGTTGAGGTTGAGGTTCTCCAGCGGGACGTTCTTCTCCGAGGAGCTGGAGCGGGATAAGGAGAGGTTGGTGACCTCGCTGCCCAGCCGGTACCTCCTCTCCAGGTCCGGAGAGCCCCCGTCCCACGGCGCCTCCTCCCCCACGAAGCCCGGGTCGTGCAGGGTCATGTAGGTCATGCTGGAAAACAATAACAACCCTGTCAGGCCTGTGGGCATGCAGCTCTGCAGTTTCACAGAGGGATAACTTCAATATTAAAGGCACCAGCTGTGGATGTGAGGGACTGAATTGAAAAATGTTTCTGAGCAGCAACGAGCATCCTGTGATCAGCTTTTCATTACATGAGTTGAAACCTGCTAACTGAATCAATGTTAGAAGGCTTGAACAATGATGTGACATTTCTACCTAACATGGAGTATTAAAAGCAAAGAAAATAGGGCTTTTTTCGGGGGGGGGGGGGAGCATTGTTCCCATAAATCTGCTTCAGTAATTCAGCAATTTGGGCGTGAGCTTGTAAACAATGTAATTAGATAATAACATTTACGATAATAACGATTAATAATTGTTCTTATTGTAGTTGTTTCATCATTATTATTATTAAGCTACAAAAGACCTAATAAAAACGTTAGATAAAATAAGAGTCACATTGAAACAGCAGGCCTATAAAAGAAGGCATAATAATATTCATGTTCAATTTAAACTAAAATGAGAGGAAAATAATACAAAAATAAAATAAAGGAAGAGGTATATACTGAAAGTATTATTATTTATTCCGCAATATCTCATTTCTTTTTTACATTTCTTTTAAAGCATCTTTGAGTATTTATTAATTAAATTATTTGATTTCTTTGTTAATATTGGCACCTTTAGGCCTCCGTAGCACTATAATCTAAAACGTGAATAAAGACTCACCTTTCGTCTTGGGAGAATCTCAGCAGCGGAGACTTCTCTGTGAGGTTTGCAGAATTCGTTTTTCCTCTCAGGATATTTAATACGCTGAAGCCGTGCCTGAGAACACAACATGACATGGACAAAAAATAGTTAACTAAAAGAAAAGAAGACTCATCTATAGACCCTTTAGAGAAGCCCTCAGCTGTCCTCACACAGCTGTCAGTCACTCGGGCACAGCTGGAGACACCTGAGGAGATCATATTAATACACACACACACACACACACATGAGCACACTTTCAATTAAAAGTATAATACATCATATTTCCGCAATAAATCCAGTAAAAAGTAACAGACCTATCTTTTATAATTATTTGATTTGTGTACTTGTGTTATCACAAACTTCTCCGACAATGTTCAAACCCAGAACATTTATAGCTGTAATCAAAGCAATGCAAAGTAGGGCAACTAAAAGTAAATACTTTAATATTTAAATACACAATCTACACAAAAATAATTCAAGACATTATATATTAAAAAAAAAAATCATAACATAATTTAGGAGTGAAGTCATGGATTTCATCCATGTGCTTCATACACTATCCGTATAGAGAGGCGAAGTCCCGCCCATCTACTTCCGACCCATGGGACCTTATTTCGGAAAAAGTTTGTATTGAAGTCAATGGGGAGAGAAAGATTATCTTTCGATCCCGTTTGAATTGTGCCATGAATTACACATATGATGTTTGTCAATTTAAAAGAAAATTTCCATGTCAAAAAAGTCACAGTTTGTCGTAAAACTGTTGAAATATAAGACTATGAAAAATACGCAACTAGAAAGACTACAAATCCCAGAATCCCGGTCCCGCATGCTGGCTCTTAGGAACCGACTAACTCCCCTTGTGTGTATGTACAGCTCTCAACATGCCCAGACTTGGAGTGATTTTCACCTCTTTTAATACTTTTCGCCTCATTCTGAAAGAAAGAAGTGAAATGTGCCAACGTGACGGCCGTCTTGGTGTGTGGTGCGAGACGGGAGATGTAGTTCATTGAGCGGTTTCACTCCAAAAAAAGTGTTACTTCACAGTTTTACGACACCTTTTAATTTTTTGACTTGCAAAATTATCTTTTAAATTGACAAACATCATATGTGTAATTCGTGGCACAATTCAAACGGGATCGAAAGATAATCTTTCTCTCTCCATTGACTTCAATACATACTTTTTCCAAAATAAGGTCCCATGGAGCTCCCCCGGAAAGGGAGGGACTTCGCCTCTCTATGGCTTTATATCAGAGGAAACGCTATAAACCTCCTGAATCATGAACACTGAAGGAATCCTAACCAGGAGAAGCTGAAAACTACAACTCCCATGATCCCACACTGCTCCACCACCACACCACACGACAGCGTGTTTTAATCAAACTGAGATTTGTATCAATAGCATCTTCATACGTTATTTAAAATAAACTCTACTTCATTAAGCCCACTGTCATCTAGGCAATTACTTTAAGACGTCATGGGAGTCGTTATGTGATGAAACACCAAACCCACTGAGCCAAAACTGTTCGATGGAAATGCGAAATTTAAAAAGTTCCCCCACGGCTAATCTTATAATCTTCAAGGGATTTTACCCTCTGCATGTCATGTATGTGCTTAGACACAATCTGTGCACTTCACACATTTATATGCATTGTTGGTTAATAAGTGTATTTTAATAAGGAAATCCTAGTTTTGTGATGGTTTGATTTGACTTTCTGTTATATAAAGAGGTTATTCAGTCATTCCTTGTGCTGTTAAAAAGGTGTTTCGGGCGCTTTGAATCAATAAATGTTGGCGATAAAGGACTCATTAATCCTCTTCCATACTCTTTGACAACTATAAGCAGATTTACAATGTGTCTACAAATGTTTTCTCCGCTCTTCTTCCTCTGATCCTGTCCTCGAGATGTGACTTTGAATGCAGATTTGCACGGTCACAGTCTACAGAGGGGCCTTTAAGGAATACTGAGCCCCAACAGAGAGCAAATTAAAGCTGGAATTAGAGATGGGTCATACAGCAGCGTTTTTAGGGCACCGGCAAGGAACAGTCAGTGTGAATAATTATGTCTCACAATGGAAAATAGGTCGTATTTTACAGGAGATATTTTTCATTTGAATGGCCTGTTCACCTAATGTTGGTTTTAAAGTTGCTGTGAGAGGTGATTTCTTTATACACAATGCATAAATCAGCCATGTGTCTAAACATTTCTGGCCACTTGGGGGCGCCAGAAACAAGGCATTAACATATTATCCGTTTTGTAGTTGATTAGCACCCAGCAGAACAACATAAAACAGACCCTATTCTGCTTTTTGGGGTATTCCTTTTCCTCTAGTGTGTTGTATAGGTTTTTATGCATATAAATGGTCTGCTAAGACTCAAATCCCTGTGTTCCCTCCAGAGGAAGTTTCTCTCCCACACACACCCCCCCCCTCCGCTGCCTGAATTGCCTCCATTGGACTCTTGAACATATTGACATCACTACAGAACACTCACGCTCCTATTGGCTAGCGCTCCGACACATTGTACGCATGGCCGTACCGGACCTCTGTAATTTTTTCGAGGTGTATATAATAAAACTTGTTAAATAACTGTGCATAATTATCAGGGTTCTTTGTAGTACTTCCATTTACTGGCGGCAATGCACAACTAAGTAGCCTACATTAAAGCAAACAGAAGAAGACAACATACATTTATCAACTAACAGCCGCAGTCCGGACTTGTACCCATGGATGTATAATAAGGGAAGTTGAAATAAATACTTTTCATTAAATTATGTTCGTGTTGTGTAAATAATGATGTGATGCTTTTGAAAGGCAAAGAATAATTTTAAAAAAGATATATATGTATATATGCTGAGCCCAGAGTAAAATGGTGAAAATATACGGCCATTTGGATCGTCGTTACGTCACTTGGTTCCCGGAAGAAAACTACAGGTGAACAGCAAACACCAGTGTGATTGTGGTGGGAGTACGACCACCCTGGACAAAGTTATAGTGGGGGTGCCAAATCCGGCAGCACCAACACCTGGGGTGTTGGTGCGCTTGCTTGGTAGCACATGTCTGCCGAGCATCTTGCTTCAGAAGCGAGGCAAGAATACTTCCTGGCATTTGGAAAACAAAGAGTGGAACAGGCTAGCAAGTGTGCAGGTGTGCGTCATATGCGAGGCCCCGCCTTACATTTTCCGTCACAGATTTGGGGAAATTGGTCCGTGCGCAAAGCATTGTGGGGATTTTAAGACCGCGGAGTCTACTCATGTGCAGCCTCGATATTTCTCCAAACGGAGTACGCCGGGCTCGGTAGATTTCCAAGTATGCTGGAGATTGGAACAGTACTTCGGCGGCACTCGATGACATAGTATGCTTGAAATAGTGGCTCTGCAGCAGCTTTACTCGCGATTGAGAAACACCCATGGTCTGCCACATGTGGAAGCCCCTCTTTAGTTTCTCACCTGCTGAGCCCAGAGTAAAATGCTTTTGTGTGCACAAGCACAGGCAGTATGAGAAAAATAAAGAGCTTTCTGAACATTAAAGCATGGAAACATGTCACAGTAGAGACACTAACTGTGCCCTGCAACATCATATATCCTTGAATCATGTTTTTTTATCTGCACAAACTAAACTTTATCCAGATATAAAACTAGTTTCACTGCAAAAAGGTTATCACACAGTTAATCCGCCCCACCACAGGGCTATCCATGTGTCAGCTGTAGTACACTCTCCATCACATGCAACTTTGACTTAGTTCAAGCTAAAAAATTCCTCAGTTTAATCTCAATAAAGTCACAGCCACAGGCTTCAGATTAGCACCCCCCTGAGTGACTGAGATACACACCCACAGACTCACACACGCACACACACACACACACTTTAGTCTGAGTGTGTGTGAATGATCACTTTACGAGAAAAGGCCAACTTTTTGCACGTGTACATCCCATGGAAACAACAAGTCCTCCAACCCATACGACCAAATAGGTCGATTGTTCAAGCGCTTAGTATTATTTACACCATAACGGTGCACAGTTTATAGAAAAGGACTTGTAGTTTTTAAAGATATTACTGATTTTCTTTGAATTAAAGAATGTAAATACTGAGTTGAGAGAATAGTCAGGGGTTTTGGGTGATGGGAGACACATCTATGGATTCAGAATGTCAATAGCTTACTGTTAAATGACGGATATACCTTTCTGTCTGTGATGTTTTACAAATCAGATATTAATGTGTAGAAGTACAATATGTGAAATAATATAGCAATGTCCTGTAAAATTATGTGAAAACATAAAACTACACATCTTCAGATGTTATACATACATAAGTGTTCTACACTAATAATACAAAGTTATTATGGCATTGTATGCTGTGTGTTATTAACATCTTCAGAAACTACCTTTCCAACTCCTCATGCAGTTGACTGTAACAGGTCTATACAGGTTCATGGTACAATGCTTCAAATCGAGAGACTGAAACTGTATTTGTCTTTACCGTTCTGTTTTAATTTCACAATAAAGTTAATAGTAATATTATGTTTGATATTATTATGTTTTATTAACTAGACCACTGGGTCATGTTGTTAAGACCATATTTTCTGTCGGTTTGGTGTTACAAACATCAAAACAATATATGTGTGGATAACAAAAATAAATCCGTCATAAACTAAACTGGAAACTTATACTGGAATGTATCATATTGTGTTAACACTGTAAACTTGGCAGTTTTTTAACCCGCACCGCCTAGTGGTTAAAGCACGTTATTGAATTGTTTTGTTGAATATGTTATATTTGATGAAAAAATTAAAATATTAAGGTCCCATGTCATGGCCATTTCTACTGATCATAATTCCATTGTTGAGGTCTACTAGAATAGGTTTACATTGTTCAATTTTCCAAACTCACATTGGTTTCTCATACAGCATCTCTGTATAGTATGTGTATTCACTCTCTGTCCTAAACGGCTTGTTGGAGCTCCTGCCCCCCCCCCCCCCCCCCCCCCCCCCCCCCCTCCCTGTGAGCCCACTGTGCTCTGATGTGTGTTTATGTGTTACAACGGCGTTTGTTAGCAACCAGAAAATGACACCAGTAATGACAAACAGATGAGAATGCTGCGTGGGGTCTGGGTGCCGTGTTGGAGGGACGTTGCGGAGCTCGCTGCTCCGCCCTTTGAGACTCGAGGAGCCGACAGTGTGAGCTGGATTACTGGTGTCGTTTCCTGGTTACTGCGTGGGGTCTGCGAGACAGCGAGACACGGCGAAACTCAGCCTGAACTCAGCCTGAGCACACACACGTGAGTGTGTGGCGAACTGTGAGTGGAGATCCGTGAAGCTGCGGCTGAGAAAAGATAAGGTTGAGTGTGCCGGCGAAACTCCGCGGAGTATTGCGGCTGATAAAAGATACGGCTGAGTGAGTGTGTGTGTGTGAGGAGCGCCACGGATTGGTGGGGTATTTACTAACGTATTTTATATTGTAGAATGAAACGTGTTAACCACAAACCTTATTTCAGGATAACAGGTAAATATATGCATTGTTTTTCCCTTATGTAATATCTGCACTCTCCGAAATCTCTTTTTTGGTTTTCATCTAGATTTATTACTTTGGCTTTTATCTCGTCTTTGACTCAGCCGACAGACATTGACCTCAACACAGTTAAACCTCCAGAGTAGTTTTCCCTCCAAAAAACCTTGCGAATAATCAAATTCAAAGTCAACTTTATTGGCTGTATAGCGCCCCCTAACAAGCAGCGTTTGGTTGTGCTTTCACCTACAAGTCTGAAACTCGGTAGACATATATAGCATGATGGGACGCACACAAAATCAGCGCGAGGCATATCGTAAACCCAACAGGAAGTCGGACATCTTTTTTTGAATCTTCAACTTTTGCCCTTTTCAGTGCCCGCGCCAAAACCATATACTCATTCAATCAGGCTCCAATTAATGAGATCTCGTCCTCTCAATGCTCAGGTGTCTTACCCGTTGTCCTGTCGCACCGGGACGAAGCCCTCGGTGTGGATCACACACTGTCCGTTGGGCAGGACCGCAGACTGCTGCAGCTTCTGGGTGTCCCTCCTCTCCGAGATGCCCTGAAGGAGGCGCAGCTCCCCAAAGTTTCCGGCCAGGGCCTCCGGCGAGCTCAGGCTGCTCCGGCCCGGGTGGCCTTGGGCGGAGGTCATCTCCATCTCAGGGTTGTTTTTGTTCTCCAAGTACATGATGAAGCTAGCAGCAGAGGAGGAAGAATTCAGATTGAGTATCTCAAAATAGGTCAAATGAAATGTCACCTGGGGGCAGCAGAAACAAACATAATGTCGTAATATCACTTTTTAACTGTAAGGCTAACATCCGGCAGATATTGAGCAACATCATTTATGAACATGTTTCTGACATATAATGAAATGCTCTGTCTTTTAGCTCTGTATTTGGTCTCCGTCAACCAGCTATTGTCTTTTAGCTTGATACGGCTAACATTTTAGCAAAGTGTGCTTATACCCATCCAGCAGATATTGAGCAACATTAGCATTCATTTAAAATCATGTTTCTAAACACCCGGTTAATATAAGTCTAAAATTCTGTCTCTTTTAGCTCTGTTTTTGGTCTCCACCAACAGACTCCTGAGAGAAGTACCTGTCTCTCTTTAAAGCTACTATTTCCACTAGCTTTGTCTTTCTCCCATTGCTAGGTAGGTAACTTAGGTAGTTAGTAGTAGGTAGCTATTTTCGCTCGTAACATCTCCCTGTAGCTGCTAACGCTGAGATTAAAACAGTTCAGTTACATTCTGGAAAACCAAAACAATTAACTGAAATAAACCCATCACTGTCATGTTATCTCCTTTTAGCTGTTTTCCTAACAGTTGCTTAGCAACACATCCAGTAGATACAAAGCTATATTAACATATATTTATATGTTTATTCTTTCTCTTTCAGCTTTAGTTACAGGCTGGAAAACCAAAAAAATAAACTGAATATCACACCTCTGTCATATTATTCCCTGTAGGCTTGTAAACAGTTTACACATCAAGCAGATATGGAGCAACATCGATTTATAATCATGTTTCTGGTCTCCACCAACTTCTGAGAGAAATACAATTATATTAATCTTTCTAGCGCTCATATGTAATGCTAGCTGTCAACTTTGTCCATCTGCAACTTGGTGCTGGGTAGTGAATGTTTTGAGTTTGAGTTGTTCCCCCTGCAGCTTCTGATGCTGAGAGTATTGAACCATCAGTGGACAATCCAAAAAATCTCACACTGACATATTATCAACTATTAGCTTGATATGGCTCACGTTTTAGCAATCTGTTTACAAATCACACACTTGTTAGCAACCGCCGTTTTTAAATTCACCAGTGGGGTATTTACTGACGTGTTTTATGTCGTAGAACAAAACTTTGAAGTCTCTTCAGCTTGTGTTAACCACACACCTTGTTTCAGGATGACAACCAAAAACACACTAAGAAAACCATTGACCTCCAGACCAGGTTAAAAAAGCAAAAACAGCAACATGATTCCTTTACCGTAGATACTACTCTATGTCAAAAGTATTGGTATCAATATCAACTATTCTTGCCCTGTATTAGTTTATAATGAATCAAAATATATAATCGCTCACATTTTCCCCAGAGTCAGTTATAAACTAGTGTACAAACAACCCACTGATGATGTGAAATCTATGGTTTTATAGCAGCTTTGAAGTGGCAAGAGTCATCAAATGTCTCTTTTATTTTCTGTTATCAACTTCCTCATCAACAGTAATGCATTGCAGCATTACATCAGAGCTTAACCCAGCAGCACAACTCACTTTCCTCACATCACTAACTTTCCTCTCCCCGGGCAAAGGGAACAAGGATCTGCTTCACAAAGAGCGTACTGTTGTCGGCTTGATTTGCTGCACACGTAAAGCACCACACCTGTTTCCAAACGCTTTGTGATGTAACTTCAGTCACGCTCCTCTGACCCAGAGGCAGGCCATCATGCGTTATAACAGGGAGTGATTCAGTGTATCCAGAGTGCCCAGCGGGGGGTCAGAGGTCAGCTACAGAAGACATGTGGGCCGACACAAAGGCTGCATGAATTCAGAGGATTATCGCTCACATGAAAAGCAACAGGAACTCACGCGTGATGTTAGTGCCCTGTGAGATCACTCCTCATGAGGAGTGAGACTACAGTCTGAGAGGAGGCCCAACACTGATCCCTCAAACTATTTACAGTGTTTAATGTTCACCAAGAAATATAAGTAACAACCCCTATCACATTTCACATGATGACTTAATCCCTTGGTATATTATACATAGTTATTAAAGCAGCTTTAAAGTCGATTCATTGATTATGATTTTAATTAAATGCCTTACTTTTATTCATTAATTGTTATGAGAATTTTTTTGTAAGAATGGCTATAAGGAACCAAATTAGTTTTCAGTAAAAAAATATATTAAATAAATATTATAAACGAGATATTTTATCATAAATATTATATATGAAGTATATTAATTGTATATATTTTGTAAATAATAATTATTCATTAATAATTGCTACATTTAAATCAATTTACTTATTTTTATAATTAACATACTGTACAATGAGAAAGTAATGCACAATTTATTTGCATCTCATGATTTATTATGAGGCTTTAAAGTTGCATAATTGATCGTAACCTCTAACATATAATAGGTGTACATATATGTATTCTTATTAAATGTTTAATGTTGTTTATTTTTTATATTTATGTGTGTTTTATTTTTGAAGATTCTCAATAAGGACAGACATAGTCAACATTTATTTTATTGTATTTTAATTGTATTCTTGTTGTATTTATTTAATTTAAATTTTTTATATCACTCTTTTTAATTTAATTAAATTAAATTTCACTCGTTTTTATTTGTTTTTTTCTGTATTTATTTCATTTTATTTTTACTTAATTCTATTTGTATTTTACATTCTATCTTGTACATTTACAAAAAAATGTATTAGTTGATATTACTACACTTTAATACATTTTCCCCTAATTATGAATAACTGACACAAACGACCTCTGAAGTAATTGAATGACATGAAATGAACCGATCCTTTCTCTCTGCACAGACAGTAACGTCAGGCTGGTGTTGGATCCTCACTAACGTCCCTATCCAATGCTTGTGATGACGGAGAGAAGAGAGATGCTTTCTGTGAACGCCTGTGGGCGAAGAGAGACGACAAACACAAACTGTTTGCTTTATTTCTCCACCCTTCGTTCACAGCAGTAATTGATTCACGACGGATATCAACAAAAGTAATGGCTGCGACGAAAGGATTTTACGTGTTAACACCACAGTTTGTCCTTCAATTTTCAACTTGTCTGAAAACATACCATCCATTCATGCACCCTTGCAACTTTTAACATATAAGGGGGATGAAAGGGATTTGTGTACGTACTACACTGCACAGGAGTATTAGGACGTAATGATTAAACCCCCTTTAACAAAGCCCACTAGTGTAATACACTGGTGTAAATCATGCAGAGAACGTAAAAGGACTGAAGGAAACTGCATTTATTCTGTGATCCATTCCTCTTTCTAGATACTGTCAACTTTTGCATATTTATCTGTATATTTTTGCACATTTTTGCACAATGCTACCTCTTAAAAACCTTCACAGCACTTCCACTCTGAGTAATTTCTTGTATTTGTATTTGTCTTAATTATTTATTTATCGTTGGTCATCATTTTTTCTTCTTTAAAATTGGTTATTTTAAATATTTTCTACATTCAATATATTTTTTTTTAATATTTTAAATATATTAAATAAAATGTTATATATATTTATACAATTATTTTCTCTTATTTTGCAGCTTTATTCCTCTTACAGTGTTTGTGTGAACACCGATGAAAATGCCCTTCATGTTCTTTCCGATAACCCTGATTCTGATTTAAATGAAATGTATGAAAGTGAGATGGACAGAAATGAAAGTAATGAGACTTACCGTTAGAGATGAAGCTGTTTTAAAAGATGATGATGAGGATGAAGATGAGGATGATGATGATGATAACGTTTTTGCAAGATGGACCTCCAACAGAAAACCCTTCACGCTGATTATCCTGAGGAAGTGCTGCAGATGATGGGATGTTAGCTGTGACGATGAGGAGGAGATGTGATGCTTCCTCTCCTGCTGCTGCTGCGTGCAGAAGGAGGAGATGATGCTGAGCAGCGAGGGTGAGGAGGAGAGGAGGAGAAGGAGAAGGGGGAGAAAGGGGAGTGGCACTAAAAAACTCTCCCGTTCAATCACTCTCTCCACCTTTTTACAACCACACTCCCCAGCTGATTAGCCGCCTCCCCCCCCCCTCTATGCACTACAAATCCTGCAGAGAAAAGAATGACAGATCCTTGAACCAAACAAAGTTTCAGTCTAAAAAACAATTAATAGTATTTATTTATTACTTTGTTTTACTTATATTGTCCATACATGTACTTTGATCAAAATACAAAAATACAAAACAAAGAAAATGCCCTGTAGGCCTCAGATTGCCTTAGAAAAAGAAAACAAATACACATTTTAAAATTAAACAATAAAATGAAAAATAAAGAAAGCAAATAAAAACAAAAAATATATAATACAAACATTTCACTTTGTATATATAATAATCATATAAAGGGTAAATATAATACACAGTAATAACATTAAAATGATCAAATACATTAAGATTTAAAATACAATTATAAGAAAATCACCTCAAAAAAACTAAAATTCATTTAAAGGTCCCATGACATGCTTTTCCGGTTATTACCCGTCCCCTTGTGTGTTATGAAGCTTTTTATGCATGTAAACGGTCTGCAGAGTCACAAACCCTCAAAGTACACCCTGTAGCGAGTAAAACTCTAACACAGAAAATACCTGTCTATGCTGCCCCAGAACGCTTCGTTGGAGATTTCTCTTTTTCCATTGTTTTCTTCCTGGGTTCAGTGACGTGCCCCTACCCAAATGGACCCATTGGTCCAAATAGACCAATCCGTGGAGCCATTACGTTAAGTCCTTGGATTGGTCCAAATTGACCAATCCGCGGACTTCCTCACACACACACACACTCAATCTTTTCTCAGCTGCAGCTCCGCCGATTTCTCCTCCCTGAGACGGCGGGACGCGGCGAGGCTGTGAGTCGGTGTGTGAGCACACACACAAACTCCCAGCCAGGCTGCGGGTGTGTGTGTGTGTGTGTGTGTTCGGGCTGGTTTTCGCTGTGTCT